ATTTCCAAGTTTGATCTTCAGAATCCATGTAAAACTGGAAAGAGACAACTGACTCCACAGAGCTATCTTCTGACCTCCACATACGTGCCTCAGGACACCCCTCCACACACGATGGTGATATAAATAAATAAATAAATAAATAAATAAATAGAAATAAATAAGAATAAGCCACAGTAATCTGATCTCCATCCACCGAGTCTAAGGACTGGGTAGACAAAGCATTTAAGTTAAGCTAATGGAGACTACTTCCTATATACTGGTCCATCAGCTCAACCAATTGGTTTTCTCACTACAATTGGTTAAAAGGAGCATTCTTAAAGGCCTTTAAAAAGCCAATCTCTCTCTCTCTCTCTCTCTCTCTCTCTCTCTCTCTCTCTCTCACACACACACACACACACACACACACACACACACACACACACAAAGCCAGGTGTGGTGGCGCATACCTTTTAAACCCAGTACTCGGGAGGCAGAGGCAGGCTGATCTCTGAGATTGAGGCCATCCTGGTCTACATATAGAGTTCCAGGCCAGCTTGGGCTACAGGGAGATCCTGTCACAAAAAAAACAAAATACCAACAAAAAATAAAAATGATAAAAAGCAAACCACAGGGCTGGAAAGACGGCTCAGCAGTTAAAAGCACTGGCTGATCTTGCAGAGGACCTGGATTCAATTCCCAGTACCACATGGCGGCTAGCAACTATCCTTAACACCAATTCCAGGGGAATTCAATGCCCTTTTCTGACTTCTGCAGGCATTGCACGAACCAGGTGCACTTACATGCACACAGGCAATACACTCATACACATGAAATAAAAAAATAATAAAATTTTAAGCCAATCACATGATCACCTTCTGGAAGGGAAACTTGGAGGGGGCTGGAAGGATAACAGACATTTCCCTTATGACTTGAGAAGGCTGTGCCATGTGCAAGCATTGTCTTTTCTATAACAAACAAAATGTGTTTTGAATAGTTTCCCAAAGACATCCTTTGGGGCAAAGGGGAAAAGATGAGTCTGGAAAACTCATGGGGAGGAGGAAGAAAGGAAAGGAAAAAGAGACCAGCCCAGAGCAACGGGGGCGCCACTGGGACTGGAGAGCTCACCAGATGCAAAATCTGAATCCCAAAGATTGTCTTTTGTAGAGATCTAAGGGGTGTAAATTTGAAAAGAGTGCCCCAAGTACATCTACTGAAACCGCAGGTCCTGGCACTGCCACAGGACACCCTCACTGATCTACTAACCCCCTCATTCCCTGTGACTTTCCTCTTACAGGGATGGTGTTCCGTACTGCGAGTCTGACTACCACTCCCAGTTTGGCATTAAATGTGAAACTTGTGACCGGTACATCAGTGGCAGGGTGTTGGAGGTGAGTAACCCCGAGCAACCACAGAGTTGTATAAATAGGATAGCTCACCCAAGACAAGAAAATCACCACATCCTTCCTTCCGTTGCCTCAACCTCCCCAAGTTTTGCTTACTACATGACCCTAACCAGATAACCTTACCAAGATCTGAGTAACCCAGAATAGAATGCAGGGAAAATAATTCCTGCTTCAAAACCTGCTCTGCTGCTAAAATCAGTTGCTGCTTTGGATTCAGACCCAGACAGATTTCTGAAGAGTAACAATTAGGATTTTCCTCGCAACTCTACCCAAGGATGGAAGACCTTTTTATGTTTTAACTATTTGGTAATGTGCTGATTTAAGAGTCAGCTTGTTCGGCGGCTTGCTTTCTAGGTCCTTCTTTGCCTGGTCCATCACCATGGCAACAGCTCTCCCCAACCTCTGATGCAGCAGTTCTCTCTGCCAGTGACAGACAAGCGGCAGCCCCTTGCTGAGTCTTTGGCCTTCCAGACTTTCATTCCAGACCCTGTGAGCCTGGAAGCTGCCTTCCCATACTTTGGGGCCATCCACCTTGATGAAGTAGAAACATGGAAGGATTTGGTGTAAAGGACAAATGGGTGACTAAGGGCAGGGATAATTGTGCTGTGGCATTATCTCTACTGATAACTCATACTCTGATTTTGGGTGAGGATCTTCGCATCTCTGGACCTCAGTTTTTCAACTGACGGTGACTGAGGAATCATAGGCTGGTTCAGCTGCTGTGAGCAGATTTATTAGTGCTATCAAATCTTGCCGGTTGTTTGTAGTTACCATGAGGACTAAGTTGAGAAAGATTCTGCAGTCACATGTGGGCTCAGCAGGAGTGTGACAATCAGGAAAGGCCTGTGGGAGAGGATGCGCTAAAGCAGAGCCCTGAGGACAATGAGGTCAGTGTGTGAAAAGCTGAGGGGCGAATGAGCCCTGTGCTTTAGGGAACAGCCAGAAAGGACAAAATGGCTTTGAAAATTGTGGGTGAGGGATACAGAGTATGTCCAAAGTGTATATCTCATAGGACTTTGTACACCATGTTTGAGAGCTTGGATTTTATACTAAGTGTAGTGGAAAGCCTTTGGAGAGCCTTAAACAAGGAGCAGCATGATAAGACATATATATTTTTTAATTTCACTAGCTGAGATGTAGAAAATTAACTGTATAGAGTCAGAGAGAATCAGACAAGCAAATGTCGTGAGTTGCTAAATGATTAAGCATCTCTTAGAAGCAGAGAAGAATACAAAGCAGGGTAAAAGGCGTGAACTCAGGAAAGGTGCTGGGTTCAGGTTTCCAAGAGCCTGGGATACAAGGATGAGAAGTTTTATGTAATTCATTGGGCACTTGGGATTTGTGGGGAGAGCTGCACCTCAGAGAGAAGAACATGGTGCTGTTTGTGGGAGGAAGGAGAAGGGGAGGCCAGCAGGGAGCCATGCATGCCAAGGACCTTTGTCTCCAGCATTATGGAAATCAAAATCCAATAGCTCTGCCACTATGGGGCAACTTAAAGAAGTATAAACTGAAGGGAAGAAGCCAAAAGTTGCACCAAAGTATTGAGACAGGGTGACAAGAAGCCTGGTATTACCATGTGCAGAACCAGAGATGGAAGAGAAACAAGATGATCTTGGTAGAATCATAGAGACCATTTGAGATGAGTTGTGATTAAAATTCCAAGAAGGATGCAAGAAGACAGTTGGGAACATGAACCAGAGCTCAGGAACAAAGCTCAGGCCTGGAGAGGCCAATGTCAAAGCAGTAAAAATGAATGATGATACCATGGGAGTGATCAGAATTTCCAAGATACAGAAAAGTATTGACCAACAGGAAGAGAGCGAGAGCCAGCCTTGGGGAATGCAGGCTCTCTTTTTAAAACAACTGCAAAAGGCACAGAGAAGGGAGTGTTTTAAAAAGAGAGGCAGTCAGAGGACTGGGGAGATAGATCATTTGATAAAGTACTTGCATTGTAAGCACAAGGACCTGAGTTTGATCCCCAGAACACTCATTAAAAAGCCAAGTGCCAGGCATGGTAGTGTATGCCTTTTATCCCAGCACTCGGGTGGCAGAGGCAGGTAGATCTCTGTGAGAGTGGGGCCAGTCTGATCTATATATCAAATTCCAGGACATCTGGGGCTACAGGAAGACCTTGTCTCAAAAAATGAAAGGGAGGGAGGGAGGGAAAGACAGAAAGAGAGAGGAAGAAAGAAAGAAAGGAAGGAAAGAAGGAAGGAAGGAAGGAAGGAAGGAAGGGAGGAAGGAAGGAAGGAAGGAAGGAAGGAAGGAAGGAAGGAAGGGGAGAGAGAGAAAGCCAGTCAGGTACAGTGGTGCATGCTTGTAATCCTAATGCTGGAGAGGGCAAGACAGGCAGATCCCTGGGGTTTACTGGCCAGCCAAGCCAGTCCACTTGGCAAGTTCCAAGCCAGTGAAAGACCCTATCTCAAAACACAAGGTGGGTAGCTCCTGAGAAATTTTACACACACACACACACACACACACACACACACACACACACAATGTGAGAGAAGAGCACAGTGAAAGGACAGAGCCTCAGGAAGCGTGATGGTCCAGATGGAGTGCTGGTCAAACTGTAGACTGGTGAATGGATGAGGAGGCTGAAGAAAAGCTGATGGGTGTGGTGAAACGTTGCCTTAAAGAGGAATTGCGGGTTCCTTCTACACAACTCCAGATTGGAGCTGGTGGGATGGAGTTGCATTTTCTTTTAAGAGGGGAAGCACTTTGATTATACACAGGGTACAGGTGGCCCAGTACTTCCAAGCATTCTGAATTTCTGCTAGTGGCAGGTGCCTTTTTCTCAAGCTGTGCTATTGCTCAGCAGTGTGGCAATCTCTCCCTCAAATGCAGCTGTGACTGGGTTTCAACTGACACCACTAGTACCAGCTCCATTAGCATGTTGGATTTATTGACTGATTTTTTTTCCTCCCCCTTCAAACTGGGAAAGACATTTAGCAATCAAGCACTTTAGCCTCCTCATTTTACAGATGAGAAAAGGAAGACCCAAAACATGGGGTGCCTTTCCAAGGTCAAAGGCAATATTTATTGGTAGAGACAGGGGTGAAATCTAGGACTCCAGGTTCCTGGATCCCACACTGGTACCTAAAACTTACAGACACTCGGGGTCTTTGAGGGAGCATGATATCAAGGGAAAAATCATAGTTCAATGAGAAAGACTTTGATTCTAATTTTACGTGTCTATAAAACCTTAAGTAAGTTCCTTTCAAGTCAATCTTTGTCAGTAGTGAATATTGCCATTTCATTCCGAATGGATATGTTAGGCAGGACTTTGTTTAGTTGTAGAGCAGAAGCTATACTCAAATGGTGCTGGCCATGATAGGCATGGTGGCACACGCCTTAATCCCAGCACTCTGGAGGCAGACACAGGTAGATCTCCATGAGATCAAGGCCAGTCTGGTCTACAAGCCAGCTGTGCCTACAGGGAGACTCTTTCAAATATTAAAAAAAAAAAAGGACTGTACGTTTGTTTGTCCATGGAAAAGACCACCACCTCTCCTATGGTAAGAGCACAGGAATCATTCTGGCTTCAAGCACAGCTAGATTCAGTGCCTGAATAAAATACGTGGACCCTCTGGCCTCCATGGCTCCACGTTCTTTTGCGTTAGCTTTATTCTCAAAAAGGCTCCCCTTTGAGTTTGGGGGGTTGGTCAACCTCTCACTTGGCATCCACAAAAGAAAGCAACCTTTCTTCCCCAATAGTTCACTGACCTTACTCTGTGTGTCGTTACTATGCCAACATTACAATTACCTGAACAAATAGCCTAACTCTTTAATTTTTAAGAGTGGGCCCAAATTCGGAAGACACTTGTTCCCCCAAAATCTCTTGGAACCGTCTGTCTCTTGGAACTGTGCAGATGGAACTGTCTTGATGAAAGGCTGTCTTGAGTCCAGCCCCACTCATTATTTTATTCAAAATGATTTCTCCAGCTTCAGGAGGTAAAAGCTTGGCTCCACCCTAATTTTTTTTAAATTTGAGACAGGGTCCTCTGTAGCCCCAGCTGGCCCGGAACCTGTTATATGTAGACCAGTCTGGCTCCGATCACACAAAGATCTACCTTTTTCTACCTCCCAAGTGCTGGAATTAAAGGTGTACGGCACCACACCTGGCTCCACTCTCATCTTAACAGACCATCCAGCCTCTTCATCCCTAGTTCTAGATTATCTTATTCACCCAAGGTCATGTTTCCTTCCCAATCTCCACTGCATGCAGTGGGTATAGGTGCATGGCTTTCAGTTATTTGCTATGTTAATCTCAAGCATATCCACATTCATTTATTATCTTTTTGAGTGGAGTACCAAGTAGAGGTTGTCAAGGTAACAAGATCAGGTGCCCAGGTCACAACACACAAAAGTACATGGTTTTGCTGGGGTTAATTAAAAGTCATTAGTCCAGACTGTGTCCATTTATAAAAATAATTCCCTCAACTCTGGACAGTTTCAGACCCATCCCTGAACCTGTTGTGCCAATAGAGCTGGAATCAGCTTATTGGTGGGGGTTAACACCATATCACCATATGGGCTGATGGCAGGTGGTCCCACCAAGGAGAGGTTTGGTGCTATTTCTGGAAGATGAGAAAGGAGGTTGGCTAAGCAGTGTCTCAGTACAGGGCCAGCACATATCAATACACTGTAGGCACTTTCTTAAATTGTTTCTATTCTTCTCATCATAACTCTGCACATTCCCTCCTGAGGCCATCTCACGACCCCTTCCTTCCCCAGAGACAGAACTTAGGATGCTGAATGTCAAGTCTCCATTCTTCCTCCCTTACCTTGGCTTCCATTCTCAGTCCTCTCCAATATGGCCTCAATTTGGGGTATCAATTCTTTGCTACTTTTCTTCACTGTTTTCTTGACTTACGCCTATTAGCAGATAAAGTGGTTCATCTCGCCTCTCAGCTGCTCTGGCAGCCTCCCTTCTCTGGATTGTTTTCTGCACCATCCAGGGCCCAGGTTGTTGACATGGGCATGAAGTCTCTTTCAGCTGGGGCGGGTGGTGGGGTGTGACATTTAAGAAGATGCTATGCTTCAGTACTGCCAAGGTACTGTTTCCATGATAGGGGAAGAGAGGGTCTATAATTGAAATGATTAAAAAGACACAGTAGGAAGAGGCTACTAATTAAACTGATTATCCTTGTCAAAGTAAAAGAGAATCAGTCCCACGACTTCCAGGCTTGGGAAAATATCAGGCTCCTTCTAAAATTTGAGCACAGTTTGCTTGGATGACAACAAGGACATTTTCTCATTTGTGGGAGCCACATGTTAACCAAGGATGGAGAAAGGGGCTGCGGCTTTCTTCTTTCATGAGACTCTGCCCCTTTCACATTCTTGCAAATTTTTGAGAATAAATTGAGTTTCTCCAAAATAGACAAGCCCATCCCAAGAATCCTATCCCTAAAACTATTTTGAAATAAATCCCCTTTAAACAATTTTAATTTTGGAATTAACATTAGACCAAGTAATGGCTTAGAGAATGGGACATCATAATTCCCAATATCCCCCCAAAGCAATATCTGTTCTAACATGAAAAATATTCATTCAAAACATGCTCAGCCTTCCATCCCATCCTCTGTGCCACTCCCCCCATGCAAATTCTGAAGCTGTGACAAAAAGGGCCCTTATCCTTGATAGAATCCTAATAATTTAAACAAGATTGAAAGGGGGGATCCTTTTCATGTCCAGTGCTACTAAATCTCAAGTTTATGTTACAGAGTTACTTTTGGTAACACTAAGTGGTAGGGACCCCACACATGGGGAAATGCCAGGATGTCCTCAAATCAAGAATATTTTGTTGTGTGGGAATGAGGAGGTGGGAACAGTGGCTTCTACACATGTCCAGGAAAATCCCTGGGCTTCCATCAGGACCCATGAAGGAATCACCAAGCTATCTGAGTATACTCTCCTGTGGTTCTGGATGCCACAGGCTATGGCAATGCCCACAGTATTAATGTACCCATGAAATGTTCACCCACCAGCCTCAACTGGACAGCAGCCCCAGTTCTGACAGTCTGTTTTATCTCCTGATTTCCATAGGCAGGAGGGAAACATTACCACCCCACTTGTGCCAGATGTGTACGCTGCCACCAAATGTTCACCGAAGGAGAGGAGATGTACCTCACAGGTAAGCAAATCTGACTGTCCTTAAGGAATTCTGATCGTCTCATGACTAGAAAAGAGATATAACCTCCTTCCATTTTGGTCTTATCTTTGCTGCTAGCTTGGTCTCAAGACTGCAATTAATTCTCCCCTCTCTGGGTAGATGAGGAAAGCTGCCTGTGTGGTTAATATGAAGTGACATGTAATCTGCCTTCCATCGCTGTGTGCCTCCACCGACTGCTTGACTGGCCTGCTTCCCTTGCAGTGCCCTGAGAAAACTCCTCTGGCTCTGCCTGGGAGTGGGAGGCTGAGTTGTACAGGACAGGAGGGTCATAAAACCTCAGAAGGATGCCCAGGCTGCTTAGTCTAATGTACCACAGCCTCTACCTGCACTGTCCCATTCCATCCCTCTCCCCACATCTCAGAGCATCATAGCAGGCTGCTGCTCAAGGCTCCCAAGGTGCAGGAAGAATAGAGGGTATCAGTAGTCCCCCTGCCCCAAAGCAAGCCACAGAACCTTCCTTCCCAGAGCCTGTCCTCTTGCCCCAGGATTTCTGCAAAGGTCACCAAATTATCTGCAGATTCCACTCAGCCCCCTGTCCTCTGTCCAGTCCCTCATCCCAGTACCTCACCCTGCTCTTGGCTCTGCTTTTCTGTCAGATTTTCCCAGGCCTCTCACTGATTTTAAATACAATCACTTCAGCCTCCCATGCAAGGCCTCCTCACCAAGGTTCCAAATGTTCTTTCTAGACTAAACATCCCCAACGCCTAAGCTTCCGAACCAGCTTTCAGTCCACATATTCATTGCTTCTGCAGTTATTTCTGGAGCCCCTACCATGTGAAAGCTCTGCATAGGGCCCATAAAGAGGCCCCATCACAACCCTATAATCTAAGATGGAACTAGATGAATAAATGCCACATGAATAAATGCAGGCATGGTGGGTGCTGCTAAAGGGAGGGCCCAATGGGAGGAGGGCCAGGGAAGTCTCCCTAAGAAAGGACTAGGAGCTGGTAAGTGAGTGACAGCTGATATATTGGTTACTTTTATGTCACTGTCACCAAAATGCCTGACCAGAACCCCTTAAGGGAGAAAAGATTTCGATTTCCTTTGGCTCAAGGTTTCAGTATTTCAGTCCCTTTGTGGCAAGGAGGGCACAGCATTCAGTTTATGGCAGCAAGAAAGTGTGATATAGACTGTTTGCATCATAGAAGACCAGGAAGCAGGGAGTAAGGCCTGAACCAGGGGCCAGGCTACAACCTGCAAAGGCCCATGTGTAGTGATCTACTTTTGCCAGCTAGACCCCACGTCCTAAAGATTCCACAGCCTCCCAAAACAGCACCCAGCTGGGAAGCAAGCATTCACGACACAAGCCTATGATGGATATTCCATATTCAAAACATAATAGCTGGTATCTTGGTCTGTTCAGGCCACAAAACAAGCTACCACAGACCAGGTAACTCAGCAGTAGTAGAAATCTATTGCTCAGAGTTCTGGGGACAGGAAAGTCCAAGATCTAGGAGCCAACAGACTTGGAGTTGGCAGCGGCCTGCTTTCCCATAGCGGCTACCTTCTTGCTGCATCTTGATATAGTGGAAGGGCAAGGCAGCCCCCTGGGGCCTATTTCATAAGGGCATTGATCTCAATCATGGACACTCTGGTCTCGGGACCTAATCACATCCCCCAACCCCCCTCCCCCTAATACTGTCACATAAGAGGAGTGAGTACAGGTGGAGCCAGTATCGGGGCTGAGGGGTCCAGGTTCAAGCAAAGACTGTGGGAACCTGGAGAGGTGACACTGAGGGGGTGTTGGCTGAATGGCTGTGATTTACCCTATCTAGAATTTGAACAGCCTCTTGCAGAGGAGCCAGAGCCCTTCAAGTTTTCCCCAGGAGGTAGCACTGAGGCCAGGGGCCAGTTACAGGGAGTGGGTCTCCCTATGAAGCGTGTCCTCACCACAGATGCCCACAGCCATGAATCACTCAAGCTATAATTTGGTCCCGCCCCAGGCCTAGAGTAGATTTTCTGAACCTCAACACCATTGACATCTGAGACTGGATAATCTTCGGTGTGGGGATTGTCCTGTGCACTATAGGTATTTAGTAGCATCCCTGGTCCCCACCCACTGGGTGCTAGTAATGTGTCCTTTCCATTGTGACAACCAAAAATGTCTCAGATACTGACAGATATCACAGGGTCTAGGAAAGGAAGCAAAATCATCCTCAACTTCAAACTACAAGCCCAGAGCTTTTCAATAAAATCCTGTGCCATCTGCTGAGTGCCAGGTGGGGGCTCTTGTGCTAGACTGAATGGGGGAGGGGGCATTTCAGAGATTCTAAGACTCTGTAACTACTTACTTAAATATACTACCGTCATGTGTTGGAGGGATAGAGGTGCCACTCTAAACTGTAAAGTCCCTGTCCTAATTGTATAGATGGAGAAAAAATAGGCCAAGGGAAAGGCATAGCCTGGTGTGAACCAGAGTGTGCAGGGCAAAGCAGAACTTGGTCTGAGAGTCCCTCCAAGCTTTCTCTACCTTCCCTTCCCGGGACTCAGACCTGGCTGATAATCAGATCCCCATGGCTCCCCATGAGCACTAGTGCCCTGAGTTATTCCTGCTGCAGGACCCTGTGTTTCAAGTCTCAGCACCAGAATAGTTTGCACTTGGGTTGAAAATCTGCTACCTGGTGATCCTTTCCCCTTTTCTGATGAACCCACCTCCTAGCATCAACCCTGCCCTCACAGCCACACTCCTACCTGTGTGTCACTGAGTAATCAGAGTCTGCCTTCCTGCTTGAATTCCTAATCCTCATCTTTCTCCCCTGGTGCTTTAGCCCAGACTGCCTCAGGTTGAGTCCTGGCACTACTGCTTACTAAGTTTTTGGCCTTGGGCAAGCCTCTTAACTCTCTATATCTTGATTTTCTCATCTGTAAGATGAATTGATCACAGTCCCAATAAGATACAGATGTAGTAGTTCCTGTTTGTTCATTTACCATATACATCTGTTGAACACCTAGCATATGTCCAATGTTCTCCTAACCGCTGGAGAGGCAGCAGGGAGCAGAAGAGACAAGCCCTTGCCCTGGAGCCTACAGCCATGAGTTAGGATCTTCCTGACCCAGTTTCCCTCAGATGCTGAAAGAGTTAACTATGGAGCCAACAGCTCTGTGATCATGAGAGAGAATGCACCATCAAACCTAAGGCAGAAATGCCTCCAGGAGGTGGGAGATATTCTTAGTAGTGAAGAAGGACTTGTCACCCTCTCATTAATTATCCCCTCCCTACTCCCTGGCTCCTGGGAGAGTGGGAGTAATTGCTGGGTATGAGAAGACCTGCCTCAAGGGGTGCTGAGTGATCCTGGAATGAGGGGGCTTAGGTCCTGGGGTGCTACAGTCATGATGACTTGTCTCTGGGTGTCATGTGGGGGTAGGGGTGGCAGCCACCAGGAGATTAAGTTGGGCCTTGGGTACCCTCACAATGGCAGCACCAGAACTCAGGAAGCTACCCTTCAGAAATAGAAGTATAGGAGTGGAGTGAGCCAGCCAAGAACCAGGAGTTCTGAGTTATAGTGTCGACACTTGGATCAATGAGCTGAGGCCCTGAGGAGTGACTCCCTCCTCTGGGTCTCTTCCTTCCCTTATGAAGTGAGGCTAGTATGAATGAGTCTTTCATTCATCCATTCCAGTGAAGGCCACGCTGTGTGCCAGTGTCTCTATTGCATGCCAGGCACTCTGCTTAGAGATGAGTGAGGCAGACATGCTTGCTGCCCTGGTGGGGTTCATTCTCTGAAAGGAGAGACTGGCATTAATCAAATAGAAACAAAAACATCAATGGCAAGCTGGGGAAGGTACGTGGAGGGAAAGTCTGAGGACAATGGGAATGTGTCAGAAGGCCATTGGTCTAGCCTGAGAGGACAGGGGAGCTCCTGTGAAGAAGGGACCCTTCAAGCCAGGATCCTGAGCACAAATCAGTGGTGGGAAGCTGAAGAGGAAAGGAAAGTTGTGGAGGCTGTGGTACAGCAGGTGAAAAGGCCCAGGGCAGGAGGAAGCACCACGTGTTGGAGAAACTGACGATCTACAAACATGGCCCAGAAGAAACAGGCACACACCTCAGGAACATTACAGCAGACTTGAACTATGAAGGTGTTATGAGCCCCACAGAGTGATGTGCCAAGGTGGGATGGGGCCCAGAGGTAGAGTGTGTGTTAGAGGTCTGCACAGCTTATGAACCCAGCCTTGGCAGTTCTGTAGATGGGCTGTTTAGTTCTGGCAGGTGATCTTCAGGAGCTCCCTTGGTTGTTTGGTTCGTATTTTAATTGCTGTATGATGGCCTTCTGATAGGCTCTAATAAGAAGTCTGATGTCTGTCTGGAGGAGAACTTCTGGAACCCAGGAGACTAGAACAAGTTTTCCTTTATTTGTTTTAAATTCTATTGTGCATTCTGTCATTTAACTGTTATTGTGAAGACGCCAGACTTCTAATCTGTTTGTTATCCAAACCCTTCATTTGGGCTTCCCTAGGAAATTATGTCACTGGTTTTGGTGCAGCAAAAAATAACTAAAATACTTCAGGTTCAGGGCAGAACATACACTGAAATCACCATGGTGACAGCTGATGCAGAAGTGGGCATTTTCCTAAACTCTAAATGCAGTGGCGTGCCCTCTTGTTCTAAATATGACTGTGTCCATGAAAAGTGGGTGATACAGCCTTCGTCTAGCCTTCTCTCTCCACCATGTGTCACCCCCTCCCCATTTCAATGATCTAAGACAGTTAACATGAGTTCAGTTGCACATTTTAAATCATCTGTTATCATCTGCATGTTCAACTAATTCATTAGGAAATCCTGGGACAAATCCTACCCTGTTAATGAAAGGATTGTAACTAAGTATGAGTCCCACCAATATTAAACAAGAGAAATACAGCATTAGTAATAACCACAAAATGTATCTCCTGACTTAACATCTACTGCTTGTCAAATGCTATACTACAAGTCGTCAGTGTGTCCCCCCATTTTATCCATTGAAGTG